GTCCCTCCCTCCCTCCCTCTGTCCTCTCCCTCTTTTCTGTCCTCTCTGTCTCTCTGTCTCTCTGTTTCTCTCTGTCTCTCTCCCTCTCTCTCTCTCTCCGGCTTGAGGGTTTGCACAGGGTTGTACCTGCAGATCTTGGGTGACTTTAGCCTTTAGGAAGCACCTGCTCTGTGCCGGGCACTGTGCCCGACAGGCACTGGCCTTACAAGAAGAAACTTCCCTGCTCTTAGTGAAGAAGCTGGCATTCTGTCAGGGACGATAATAGTAACGACACAGACATATATTCAGTAAATACTTAGTACACTTTTTTGGTGGTGGAGGCCCCAGCAAGAGGAGGGTGGGGGCAGTCAGGGAAGACTTCGTGTGGGAGGTGGCCCCTGGGCCTAGGTACCCTTGGGAAGCCGTCTGACTTCTGAGCCTCAGTTTCTCATCTGTAATTAGCCTCAAGAAAGTAAAAACCTCCTTCCCAGCTCTGCGCTAACCCCACCTCCCCCAGGCAGTAAGTGCCTTATCCAAGATGGCATCTAAACCCTCCCAGGCAAATGAGAACCCTGACTGTGGAGTGTCAGTGGGAATGGAGGGGAGAGGTGCCTTGTGCAGGCTGCCTCCGAATCCAGGCTCTCCGCATACCCTGCTCTGCTCGAAGCTCTTTCATTTTACAGGTAGGAAAACTGAGGCTCCACAGTGCAGGGACTTGGCCCAGGTCAGAGCCTTTAATTCTTGACGAGTCAGTCTGTGAACAACTCTCCCTAGAAAAGTGACCCAGAAATGCTGGATGGAACAACCGAAAAGCTTTCTGAACCGTGTGTGCATCAGGAAGTTTTGGGGCCTGACCATCCTGCTTAGGAGGATGAGCCCTTCACATCCTCTGTGGGGCCTGTTAATTAAGAAAACAGTAAGCGAGACCCCCAGCCTCAGTATGCGGAGCCCGCCTCCCCCTCCCCATGGTAAGCAGCGCTCTGTGAGGTAGTGTGGGGCGACGGCTGGTGGAGATGCCGAGACGTCTGCTCCGTCGTCGAGGGTCATCGAGGCACGGCAGCGCAGAGCCAGTCCTCTAGAGCCCCACCCACTAGTCTGTGCTCCTCCCTCCAGGTGCTTGTCAGGAGTGACGAGGGGTAAAGAGGAAAGTCTGTCCCTTTGGGCCCCACAGGGTCAGGCAGGAGGGTCTCGAGGCAGGAGCTCAGGCCAAGGAATCAGCCCCGGCCTGAAGCTCTTAATAAGCTCTGCTAAGAAGTGGCTGAGCGACCTTCAGCATGCACCCTGCCTTCTCTGTGCCTCAGTTTCTGTCAGAAGGGGTTAGTAATACCTGCTCTTCCTACCCTAAGAATGTCAAGTAAGTGAAAGTTTTCGAAAAATACAAGACGCTTTGTGTTCTGTCCTGGGAAAACAAGAGGGCCCCGGATGAGAATGGTCAGGACTTGGAGCTGGTGGGACGAGTGTCCGATTGGGAGTTGAGGAGCCTGGGTTCACGTCCCAGCCCTGCTGCGCAGGGACCCGGGACCCGGGACTGGTAAGCCATCTGGGCCTCAGCTTCTCCAGCTCCAGACTTCGTCAGTGGGTACGTCAGTTGGACATTAAGGGCCTACCGTGTGCCAAGCACTGGAAATCCAAAGAAAGGCAGAAACAGCCCCTGCACCCAAGAAATTGATGTTTTAGTTGGGGCAGAAGATGCAGTGGGTAGGGTGTGAGACTTGGGGTCAGGAAGACTTGAATTCAAATCCTGCTGCAGATACTGTAGCTCTGTGATTCTAGAGAAGTCAGATAACCTGCCTTAAGTCTTCTCACCTGTAAAATGGGGATAATAATCAGTTGAACTAACTTGATATGTGTAAAGCGATATGTAAATGCTAATGATTATTATTATTAAAATCTGCACACAGAATGTATGGAAGGTCCCTTAGAGCAGGGGTCCAGGACCTTTTTTTTCCTCATGGACCCCTTTGGCAGCCAGATTAGTGAAGTCTAGAGACCCCTTCTCAAGTACTACTACTAATAACAGACATTTATGTAGCACCTGCTATGTCCCAGGTACTGTGCTTAGTGCCTTGCAGTTAGCTCATTTGAGCCTCCCAACAACTCAGGGACATGGGTGCTATTATTAGCCCCATTTTACGGATAAGGAAACTGAGTCGGGCAGGGGTTAAGTGACTTGCCCAGGGTCACACAGCTCCCAAGTATCTGAGGCCAGGTTTTACCTTAGGTCTTCCTGACTCCAGGCTCAGTGCTCGGCCCCCTGGGCCATCTGACTACTCCTTGTTTGTGTGTTTTTAGTGCATAGAATAAAATAGGGTGTCATGATAGGCGGACCCAGACAGGAAGAAGACAAGGTCCCAGAACCTAGGTGAGGAGCCCTGGTGTGAGCGTCCCAAGCTCCTGGAGGTCTCGGGTGGGAGTGAGGGGCGGAATCAGGCATTGGGAGAAGGGAGCGTCAGCTGGCAGGGGTCCTGTGTGGCCATCCTATACCTGACTCCCTCATTTTACAGATGAGGAAACTGAGGCCTAGAGAAGGAAACCTCTTAGGCCTGTGATGGGCCAGAGGTGGGGGCTGTCAGCCAGGCGCAGTGCTTGGTCCCCAGTGATAAATGCCTTCTCCTCCTTTGTCCTGGTAGTGTGGAGAAAGTCGAACATGGACCTTGTCAGGGAGATTGTCCGGGAGACAACAGGTCAGACCCAGAGGAAAGAGATCAAAGGGGCTGCCAGCCAGAGGCCCCAGAGAGGACTTCAGGAAGGAGAAGCGGGTCCCCTTACCCTCTCATTCAGTACTGCGAGAGCTAGAAGGAGCCCGAGGTGATCTAGGCTAGCCTGCTTTTTAGAGATGAGGAAACTGAGGCCCAAGGGAAAAAGTAGTGTGGGGCAGTGGTGAGAGCACTGGGAATGAATGAAAAAGCATTTGTTAGTTGTGTGCTAGGCACAGGCCTAGGTTTGGGAACTACAGAGTCTTAGGTGAGACAGTGTCTTTCCCTGAGGAACCTACATAGTAATGGGGAAAACCACACATGTTGGAGCAGGAAGTGTCAAGGATGGGGGTGTATGTCGTCGGGCAGCATCCAGAAGCAGTGGTGGTATCGATTACTGTTGCTGCCCCACAAGGGAGAAGGCAGGAGGGCGTGGTGTGCCAACAGGGAGCCTGGCACCAAGTCCAGAGCAGCTACATTAGAAGCGTAGCCTCGGGTCCGCCTGAGACCCCCTTCCTGGCTGGTCTCTCTCGGCCTGGCCTGGGGGTAAGGGGACTCTAGGTTCTAGCTTGGCCCCTTCTTCCCCTGTGATGGGAGGCAGCGAGTGTCTTTCCCCCTGTGAGTCTCAGCTTTGTAAAAGAGGGTCTGGGCCGGGACCCCAGGAGGTGCTGGAGGTGGGTGTCCTGATTGCGAGTGCTCCCCGGCCCCTGCCAACTGGTAAGGATTCCTGGTCCTGGGACGTGGGGCCCAAGAGGAGAGCACGTGGTTGGCCGTGAAGGGCTATGGAAATGCCCCCCTCGCACTGCCTGACTTCTCCAAGGGCACACAGCTCGTGGAGGGAGTAGAGGGCCCGGCCCCAATGCCTCTTACCTGCGGCTCCCGTCCAGACCCTCCAGGATTGATCTGGTTTGGCTCCACCCCGCACCCACCCCTGCTTCCTCAGTGTCTTGGGCTGGCGTGCCCCACACCCTGAGCCCTCACAGCCTGGTTCTTCACAGATGGCAGAAAGCATGAAGTACCCCTTCCGTCAGGGGATGCGAGTGGAGGTGGTGGACAAGACCCACGTGTCAAGGACACGCATGGCCGTGGTGGACACGGTGATCGGGGGGCGGCTGCGGCTGCTGTATGAGGATGGAGACGGCGATGATGATTTCTGGTGCCACATGTGGAGTCCCCTCATCCATCCCGTGGGCTGGTCCCGCAGAGTTGGTCATAGCATCAAGAAGCCAGGTGTGGGCAGAGTGGGAGGGACTGCCCCTGGAGGGCCCTGCCTGCTCCCGGCCCCCGTGCCCAGGCTGCCCCACCTCCTGGGGCCCCTGGAGGGCCCTTCCTGCCCCCGTGCCCAGGCTGCCCCACCTCATTCCCTTCCATCTTTGTCCTCTGCAGAGAGGCGAGGGGAGATGAGCAGCCACCCAACCTTTCGCAAGATCTACTGTGATGCTGTTTCCTACCTCTTCAAGAAGGTGAGCAGCCCAGGCTCTCGGGAACTCCATGGGTGGGGGGGCCTCAGAGGTGGTCTCTCAGGTCGCTCCTGGCCTTGGGTCTCTCCCATGTCAGAGTCTCTTCCACACCCCAAGGGCCCCATCTCTTTTCAGGGCTGCCTCTTTTCCTTCTGCTCCCTCTCGCTTCTGGCTGCCCTGTTTTCTTCCCCCGGGCCTAGGCAGAGAATGGCTGCCGCTGGCTGTTGGCCAGCAGTGCCCTGTGCCCGTGACTCCGTGCCCATCTCTCTCCCCAAGGTGCGAGCTGTCTACACAGAAGGAGGCTGGTTTGAAGAAGGGATGAAGCTGGAGGCCATTGACCCGCTGAACCTGGGCAACATCTGCGTAGCCACTGTCTGCAAGGTGAGCTGGGGCCAGCCCCCTCCAGGGCTTCAGGTCTGAGGGGCTCCCACGGCGTGGCCTCTGGCAGCGCAGGGCTGGCACCAGAGCACAGACTTCAGGGCTGTAGGCTCAGCACCCCTTTAGCCAGGTAACTGGTACCTCCCGGAACCCCTCGGGCCTCAGTGTCTATCTGTAAAACGAGGATATTGAGCTGGAAGGTCTCGGCCTTTCAGCTTAAGAGCCCTTGGGCGGTCCTGTGGCCCACATTAAGTGTTGACGTCTACCTGGCCTGTTTTTCTCTGTTGGACTGTAAATGTCTGATGGCTCCTTCTTAGAGTGTGTGGAGATGTCAGCTGGAGGTACCAGCTAGCTGAAGTGTTAGCGGTCTTTCCCCACTGTGGTTACCAGGGGTCCTAAATTCTCTCTGTGACCACTGGGGCTTTAGCTGCTGGTCCAGGTGACATAAGAGGGTGAAGCTCACCCTTGTCTCTGTCAGGTATGGTAGTGGGTGCCCCGGCCTCCCTCTTAGGAAGCAGCTGGTTTTTTTGGGTGGGGGGCTGCCCCGTGGGCGGGTCATTGTTCTGACTGGAGCTTTGCCTTCCTCTCTGGAGGTTCTCCTGGACGGCTACCTGATGATTTGCATTGACGGCTCCACCTCTGTGGATGGCTCAGACTGGTTCTGTTACCATGCCTCGTCACATGCCATCTTCCCAGCCACCTTTTGCCAGAAGAACTCCATTGACCTTACACCTCCAAAAGGTGAGGCTGGACGTGGAGGCCCATGCTGGCCCAGGCCCCAGGATCATTCCACCAAGGATGTCGGGGATGAGGAGGCGTGGTTGGGGTGTGGGGGTGCAAGCTGCATCATGGGAGGGAATGCCCATGTGGATAGGACTGCTGACCCATCTGTTCCATGCCCACTGGGGCCAGGCAAAGCAAGTCTGGTCTTTGTTCCATGTGGGAGCCCCCCGAGGTGGTGGGCGCCCCGAGTCTTCACCCCAGGCTCATCCTCATGCCTTCCTGACCCTGCTGCCCTGAGAGGCCCCCTCAGGAGGCGCGATGAAGCTGGTGACTCATGGTGTGCTCTCTGCCTGCCTTCCTCTCCAGGGTATGATGCAAAGACCTTTGACTGGACCTCGTACCTCGAAGAGACCAGCTCCAAGGCTGCTCCCGCTCGCCTCTTCAACATGGTGAAGAGACCCTGGGTTCGGGCAGAGACCGTGGGCTGGGGGCCGGGGCCCAGGGCCCTGGGCCCTGGCTGCTGTGTGCCACATGTCCGTCCAGAGTTCTGAACCGTTGGGTCCTTTGGGCCCTCATAAGCCGTCCTTCTGATGGGGCCGTACTGGCTGCAGGTTTGGGGTGGCCCCCGCCTCTCCTGAGGGCCAGGGTGACCCTCCCCTCCCGGGAGCCCCAGCTGTCCCAGCTGTCTTCCCCTCTCCACTGGGGTAGAGGGTGGGATGGTGTATGGGAGGTGCCTCAGCCAGGGCATCTCAGAATCAGGGTCCCTGGTCCCTGGGATGGTGGTTCCCTGGGCAGGCCCCCCGCCGGCGACCTCGGAACGAGCCCCTCTTCCTCCCCGCCCCCCCAGGACTGCCCCAACCACGGCTTCAAGGTGGGCATGAAGCTGGAGGCTGTGGACCTGATGGAGCCGCGACTCATCTGTGTGGCCACAGTGAAGAGGGTGGTGCAGCGGCTGCTCAGCATTCACTTTGATGGCTGGGACAGCGAGTATGACCAGTGGGTGGACTGTGAGTCACCCGACATCTATGCCGTGGGCTGGTGCGAGCTGATCGGCTACCAGCTCCAGCCCCCGGTGGCGGCAGGTCTGTCCCCTTGGCGCCGCCACACAGGCTTCTCTTCCAGGGTGGGCCGCGAGGGTGAGCTCTCCTGCCCCTCCCCTGCCCCTCCAGGGCTTCAGGCATGAGGAGCATGCTGGGCCCTCCTTCAGGTCAAGACAGGCAGGCCTGGGAAGCCCCCGCCCCGAGACCCCTCCTCTGCTGAGGCCGCCCCAGCATAGCCCCCGAGACAGGGCCCGAGCACCTGCCCAGCCTCAGGAGAGTCAGGGCTGGAACCCAGCTCTTCTGTGTGAGGCTGCACTGCCTCTCTCATGCCCCATACCGCCAGTCACGTACCCTTCACGGGCATAGACTTGTCGATCCAGAGCAGGGGGGACGTCGGAGAGCTTCTGGGCCAACCCCCCATTTTTACAGCTGAGGAAACAGTGTTGGGGAAGTGGGGTGACTCCCCCAAGGTCACACATCCCTAGTGAGAGTCTGACGTGGTTGACAGACATTTCTTCCTTGGGACCTCCAAAGTCTGTGAGGTGCCGTTGTTGGGGACTGTTAGCCCATTTTGTAGATGAGGAAGCAGGCTCAGGGGCGAAGGGCCTTATCTCCCAGGCAGTGCGTGTCTGAGGCACGCTTCCTGGGGCACTGGGGATGAATCTGGCCCCTCGCTCTTTCTGTCCCCACCATGGTCAACCCCATGGGAGCTCCTGGGAGCGGGACCGTTCTCCTGGTGACCAGCTGTCACTGGTAGAGATGACCGGTGAAGCAACGGCTTTGCCCCTGAGCCTCAGTTTCTGTATCTGTAAAGTACGATCATCGTGCTTGAGCTGTCCGTGTCTCAGACTTTTAGAGAGTTGAGGTGTGTGTCTGGTGGTTGCCTCAGATTGGGCTCAGATGACCTGAGTTCAAATCCTGGCTCAGCATCTTGTTGGGGATGTGACTTCACTTTGCAAGTTGCTCTCCTGCTCTGGCCTCAGTTTCCTCATCTGTAAAACGAGGTTAAGGCAGATCTTCTCGGAGGTCTTTGCCTGCTGTAAATGTGGGGGCTCTTGGGTGCTCCGTCGGTGGGGGGAGTCATTATCGTTTCTGTGGTCCCCACTTCAGCACAGCAGGCGTTCACGGAGCGCCTCCCCCCACCAGTGCCAGTACGGAGGCACAAACCTGAGATGTCCCCATCCCTGCCCCCCAGGCACTAACATCACAGCTGTGACAGACGCGGGGTGGGGGGAGACGTGATGGCAAGGCCTCCCTCTCTGTCCTTTAGCCAGGGTTCCTCAGTGTCCGTGGGCTGGGGCTTGCTTGGAGCCCTCTCCCTGATTCTTCCCTCCTCCTCTTTTGGTGCCAGAGTCCACCGCTCCCCAGCAGACCAAGGACGTCATGAGGAAAAAGAAGAAGCCCTTTGGGAGGAAGAGTAAGTGATGGGGCCTCCGGGGCAGGTGTGGTTCAGCTGGGTGGAGAGCCGGGCCTCGCTGCCGGGCAGGGCCCGCTCAGCCTTCAGCCCAGAGTGATAGAAGGGCACCCACCCTCGGGCCTGAAGGGCCCCTTGGAGGCCGACCGGTCTGACCCTACCGCGTTCCTCGCTAACGGTAACGTCCTTCCGGGACAGCCCGGCAGCTTCGTGGCTCTCCCCTGGGCCTCTGCCACGGTCAGCGGTCACTTTTTCCTTAGCTCAGGCCCGAGTTGCCTCTTTGCCGCTTCTCTGCATTGGCCTCACTGTAGCCTCTGAGGCGGGCAGACCAGGGTTGATCTGTCCTCTTTGTGCACTCAGTGCTCCCTTCTTCCTCCATCTTCTTTTCCTCAGTTCCTTGAGCTGACCCTGGTAAGGTGTGATGCCTCTGGCCTCACGGTCTCCCCCTCTCTGGTCGCTTTCCAACTTATCAGTGTCCTTCCTCAAACATGGAGCCCCGGATGGAGGCCAGTGCTCCTGAGCGAGGCAGAGGGCTCCGGGACCCCCGCCCCTCGTGTCCTCCAGGCCACGCTCTCTTTGCCTTTCCTGGCACCTTCTCTCACTCTTGGTTCGTTGAGCTCAAGGACCCCGGAAGTGTGGGGGTGCTGGGCAGAGGGTCTGCGGGTGTCTACCCGGACCTTCCCCTTTTCATCTTGGTACCCAGGTGTAAGCCTCGGTCTTTACTCCTGGTCTTTCGTCTGGATGAATTTGTCCTGTGGGTCAGGCCTCTCTTCCTTGAGATTGAACCAGGCTCCTAGCTGTGCTTCCCTGGACTTGCTTAGGCAGCACGGGGCCTGCCCTTGAGACCCTAAGGCCCCTCATCTGGCTCAGAATCTGCCTGCCTGCACCATGGTCTGGCCCACGTCTTCTTCGTAGAAGGGCAGGAGAAGCCTTTGCCACGTGGGTTGCTAAATCCCAGTTCACGTTTATCCTTCTCCCAGCACGGCCCGGCTGGCACATGGTGGCTCTTTGTAGTAAGCACTGCCCTCGCTTCTAGAGAACCAGTAACCATCCCTTGGGAATATCCCAAAGCTAGGAATTACAGCCACGCCCATAGAGAAGTCCTCATCTGGCAGCTTTTAAATGGAAGTCCTGGAACGGCAGGAAACCACGCTGGCGTATTTCTGTGTCTGCCTCGAAAAGAGCAGACACGTTCATCAGGGCTGATGGTCTGGGGGTGGGGCAAGAGAAGGGGGCATCGGAGGCACAGGAGAGATGGGGAGGGACGGTGAGGCAGGCCCAGGCCAGTGGAGATGGGGGCGCCAGAAGGGGAGGCAAGCAGAGGCTGGTTCAAGCCTGTGCCATGTGTGACGGTCACTCTTCCAGAGAATGAGACTGTGGCATCGTGGCCTGTATGTAGGTGAGGGTCTCAGTCACTTAAAAGGCCAACCAGACTGACCCCAGAGCTCTGTCTGTTTTCACTGTATTTGAAGGGAAAAGGATCACGACCAAGACACGGCCAGCAGCCAGGAAAAGCCAGCACTGACCAGGCCCTAGGTCGACATGAGGCCAGAAATTTGAGTAAGAGTCTGAGCCCCAAGGAGTGGGGGAGGGGTGCAGGAGGGAGGCCATCCTCTGGAGGCCCTGGCCTCAGATTCGTCCGTCTTCCCCCCACCACCTGAAAAGATGGGAGAGATGGAGGGGGAGGGATGGGTACCTTGGCCTGGCTGTGTTAGTGGGGCCTAGGGAGCATCCCAGAGCCCTGGATTTGCACCCAAAGGAAATGAATTCAATTGTTACCTTTGAGGCACACTACCCGGGCCTTGGATTTCTTGTCTGAAAAATGAGGGGGTTGGCTTCGATGGTCTCTGAGATCCCTTCCACCTCCAAATCCTCTGATTTCCCACGTTTTCACCCTCTCTAGGCCTGACTCCTAACCCTTCCTCTTCTGTCCTCGCAGGCTAAGCCCCCACCTCCTTGGCTGGTCAGCTGGGGCAGGGTGTCCAGTTATGTCCCCATGTTGCAAGGAGTTGGGGACCCAGTGTCCCATTGTGAAGCAGATGTTCCCGTCAAGGCTCCTGGCTGCCACCCGTCACTCAGCTGGGGGTCCCAGGGCCTTCTCTGTGGCCTTGTCCTCTGTGAGTGAAGGGGGGGGAGCAGATCCTAGCAGGTTCCATGCAGGAATCCTGAGGATACCGTGCCTCCCCTGCCTCCCCGACACCCTGTGTCAGCTTTCCTGGGAGGGTTTTCTGAAGCTCCAGGGCCTGACCCTTTAAGGGGGTCAGTCACTCAGGATGTCAGAGAGGACACTGTGGACCCAGATGCCCAGGAGGGAAGCCAGTGTCTCCGGCTCTCAGCCCCTCGGGCTTGAACCAGCCCTGACCTCGAATCAGAAAGGAGCAGGCCTTCAGTCCCTCCTTCCCCTTTGGACACATTTTTCCAGAAAGCAGAAAAAGCCTCTTTTCCTTTAAAAAATCATGCTTGTTGCTCAGGGACGTGAAGCCTGACCCTGAGTGGGGATGGCGTGAGCTGGGGACGAGAGCTGACCCGTCCCCAGCTCCCTTTGGACCCCTTGCCTTCTTTCCTCCTTCCTGCCTGGCTGAGCAGGAGTCTCTGATTCTCAGTTCCTGGATGGAACTTCTCGGGAGCCCCCATCTACCAGGCGGCCTAGGCCCCCTGTCCCTCCTGGCCTGCTCGTCAGCGAGGAGCAGGGTATGGGTGCCTTCTCCTGGGCCCCACACCTGGAAGGAGAAGGGGGATGGTAGGATGAGGCTGTGTCAGGGTGTGCTTAGTGGAGGGCTGGTGGGGCTCCTCCTGCCCAGGAAAGTCCATCCCCATCCTCTTCCTCAGTGCCTTGGTACTTAGAAGGCTGCAGCAGGGACGAGCAGGACCCTTCCACCCACCAGCCACCATGACAGCGTGGGGATTGGGTCTGAGGCCCAGGGCAGATTTGGAATAGTTGTGAAGCATTTGACAGGGGGTCCTGGGGAAGTGGGATTGAGTTATTTTGTGGAAGGGAGCAGCCCCACAGAATGGGTGTAAATGGCAGAGGTAGGTGAGGCTCAGTGTAAGTAACAGCCCAGCAGTCAGAACCATCTCCAGGTGGCCTTCGTGGAGAGTGAGCTCCCCGTCGGGAAGGGCAGGACCTTCCAGCAGAGCTAGGAGCCGACCACTTGGCAGGAGCATCACAAGCAGGATTCCTCTCCACGTTCAGGGTGAACTAGTCAGTAATTTGCCTTTCTTTCACACTTTAAGGTTTGTGAAGCACTTTCCCCAGAAACAGCCCTGGGAGGTAGGTGCTGTGTGGTTGTCCCCATTTTACAGATAAGCAAGGCAAGCTGCAGGGAGGTGCAGCGCCACACATGACATGTAGGTTTAGAGCCCTTCCAGTACAGCAGGGCCCTTCTCCCTGGCGGCTCGGTGGGATTGGTCATTCCAGGGCCTTCCTGGACCTGCTTGGACCGCAGGAGACCTCTGTCAGACACAGCAGGTACCTTGAGCTGCCAGACAGAGGCCCACGTGTGTTGGGTAGGGAGGTGAGCAGCCACTTAACTGGTTCCAGCTGGCCTCTGGGGACTGCGTGGGAGGGCTCCCCAGGCTCGCTTCCATGCTTTTTCCGGGTCTCTGGTGGTTACCCAGCACTCTGGAGAAGCAGAGCTGAACGCCAGTTGCTCCAGACGGCCAATCCTACATACAGTTGCTAGCAGGCCCTAGGCCCAGCCACGGAGGCTCTCTGGTGTCACTCAGGCTTGCTCATTCCCGAAGGATATCAGACAGAGTGGCCAACAGCTGCGCTCGTAGACTCCCAGGAGTTCTAAATAGAACCTGAAGGGCACCTAGTCGAGTTCAAGGAACCCTCTTCAAGCCAGCATCACGAGAAGGGACTGTCTGTCCACAGCCACATTTTAGGGGTGAAACAGGAGCCCCCCAGTTCAAGCTCAGACCCCCGATCTAAGATGGAGGGCTTCTCTAAGGCGGCAGTGGTGGGAAGCACTCTCCCTGAGGCAGCCACTTCTGTCTGGTGATACGTCCAGTGTAGACCTTCCTTACGTTGCCCCCAAAGTGCTTCTGGGGAATATGCCTGTTAGTCCCAGCTCTTCCCTCCAGTGAGCAGAAAGAACTCGAATCCCTCTTTCACATGATTGCCCTTCATGTATTAGAAGACTCCACCAGGCCTCCGGCCATCCGGCTTGCTTCAGCATCTGTCTATTAGGAGATGTATTTAAATGTGATGGGACCAGCATGGAGTCCTCCGGGTGTTAGACTTTGGCAGTCTTCCTAGCACACCATCTCAATTGTCGACCTAACTCAAACCTCATGGCCTTCCCCATGAACCGTTGTTGAGCAGTTCAGCACATGTGAACCTGAATTCAGCCCTTCACGTTGGTTTCTATTTCATTTTATCTTGTTAGTGGGATCCCGGCCATCTGTCATAGAGCACGGTGGCTATTCCTCTCAGGTTCACGTCAAAAGCTTATCATCTGTTAATCTTGAATGAATTGTAAATTTGATTAAAAGCAAAATAATTTTTAAGAATTGAGTTATTAATGTCTGGTAACATTATTGGGAAAGGTCGGGGTGTCCTCAGTCCCCAGTCCTGAACCACATGCCCCCACAAGTAAACTGAACATTAGCTGAATCTGGGGTTGGGATGTTGTACAGAAGCCTTCTTGGTCATGTGTGATAGATGACCTCTAGGCCATGTGACCTTCCCCACCCTCCAGTCTTGGGCTCCTGTTATAACCTGGATGTATTCCTGCTTCCTCTTCCCTCCATTTCGGAGCCCCTAGTCGTTGTCAGATACACCTGGATTCTGCCGCCCCCCACCTCTCCCCCAGATCTCTCTCTTTTTATCGTCATCATGCGCATTGGCTTCCCACTGATGAGATTAATAAAACCTCTTTGCCGTAGGGCGTTGAGGTTTGCACACTATGTCCTCAGAAGAACCCTGTAAAATTGGGAGCACGAGTGTGAGTGCTCATTTGATAGCTGAAACGGGCTCCCACTTGCCCACGGTGACACCGAAGTGCCCGAGTCAGGATTCAAACCCAGGTCTCCTGAAGCCAGGCCCAGCTGCTTCCTGATGGCCTTCGGCTTTGGGGATCGTCTTCTCAAACCTGCTTGGGCCTCTGAGATCTGTCATTCCCCTCATCTCTGATCCGTCTCTGCCATCTTCACGAGCTCCTCTGCTCCTGCTTGGTGCTCCAGGGCTCGATCTGTGGCCCTCTGCTGTTGGCCCCCTTTCACTCCGCACCACTGGCTTAAAAAGAGCTCACTTTTCTATGCAGAGATTCTACAAATCATCCTCGTTTGTGCTCGTGATCTCATTTGCACATAGTGAGTTCTTAATGCTTGTTTCATTGTTTGCTGGGAGACTGACTTCAGGGCTTCTCTGGTGGTCTGGATTGATGGGAACCTCAAAGCTCCAACTTTCCCTTATACCTGCTAACAAAGATGCAGGCAGGAGTTAGCCTGGCACCAAAGTGAGGCTTTTCTCCAGGATCATTGGGGAAAAGAAAACTGCGTCATAAAAAAGGACTAATTTAAGGTAGTAGTGGTAGAGGGAGCAGTCCGTGGGTTACTGCATGACCGCAGGAGGAACAGGTGGGGAGGAGGTAATCAGTGTGCAAAGATCACACATCTCCCCTTGTGGGGAATGCTAAGTTCTGGCCATCTGAAAAATGTCCATTTTGCCCATTTCATTCAAGTGTTGAGTTACGTTCTCAGTCTCCACTGCCCATGGAGTGGGCACAGTTTCCCAGATGACGTTGAGTAGGAGGCATCCAGGAATGTGCCGGAGCCAGCTAGAACCTGCTCTGGAGCCCGCTTTAAAATTTTTAGTATCAGCATTGACATTTCAGCTACAAATCCAAACTTGACTTACTGTTTGGCGGATTGTCCAGGCTGATGAAAGTGATGGAGGAAATGTTAGAAGATGGAGGATTAAGCCTCAAAGTGTGTTCCGCATACTTTTTGTTGTGCAGCCACTTGTTAAACATTTACCAGCACATCCCCGGAGGGATTGAAGGGATTGAAGGGATGTGCTAATTCCTTGGGGAAGAAAGAAGACATGGTGACGTTTTGGGGGCTGGTCCAGACTCATTCAAGAGACTTGTGATGGACACAGTGCAGTTAAAGACTCAAAAAAAAAAAAGACCACACCACATTAATTTTAGCTTCTTTACTCATGAAATTCAGGCATATTTGGATTTAACGCAGACATCTTGGTTTCACTCCCCCAAAACAGCATTCTGAACACACCCAAACTCATTTCGTAAATTTTGAAGGTCTAAAAAAAACCCCCAGTAATTCCCACACATCTTCTGGACCCTGAGATACATTCATGCTGATTTCTTCCCCATGGAAAAGCCATGCTGGCAGCTTTCATGTAGCTTTGCTTTCCTTAACGTGGATTATAATATAGATCCCATTCTAAAGCAGAACGTGCTTGTCTTACTCGAGTCTCTGACCTCCTTGGCCATCTGGTGAAATTCATGGGCCCCTGCTCAGAATCACATGTGTAAATGTGTAAAATAAAATAGGATTACAAAGGAAATTAATCCTATTGAAATGAAGTGATCAAAATATTTTTGAAAACAAGTTTATGAACCCCACCTTCAGAACATGAGGAAAACCTTATGACTTATTTGTAAATAGAAAACCCCCTTTTTTTTCCCCAATATGAAAAGATAATGATACCTGAGTCTGGGAAGAGGCTATTTTATTTGTAGAGCACTGTCAGCTAATTCTACCCTTTCTGTCCACCCCCAACTCCCACTTTCAGGCTAGGTTACCTAGGGCATGATTACCCCAGGGACAAATTACTCTGAGGGGCTTTATAGTGCTTTTATCTTCACCCTGGTCAGTCAGAGGATACAAGAAGGCCAAGGCAAGGGTATTTATTGAAATAACAGCTCAAGAACACGAACATTCCAAACCTGGGGGGTTGTTCTCTCATGAATACACGCAGTGTCGGTGGAAAGGGTGGGTGCCCATAGAGTTGCAAGTGGAGAGACACACCAATGTGGTTAAGTAGGGATGCTGTACCTCTGACGTCCTCCACTTCTCCCACTGACCTTCCTCTCCTGGTCCATAATCACCACCACCTCCCGCAGCGGGGCTTCCAGGCCTCAACTGACATCCTGGCCTTAGAGAATTGCTTTGTATTTTCAGAGGGAATTTGGAGCCCACACCCTAAGAACAGGAGAAGTCTTAGCTTAGGGCCCTACCATCTCCCAAGCAAGATCCTGGCTCCAAAGTGTCTAATTCTCCCTGTGGCTTCCTTAGCAAACTGTTTCTCTTTTAAATTAAATCTCTGCCATTCTCTTGGGGTGGGGGTGGGGGGCATTGTGACAAGCTCAAGTACTTCTGCTGCAAAACAACATTACCAAGTAAGGGGGGAGGGCAGAGATATCCCCTCCCCCCCCAAGCTATAATCTATAAGAGACCTTTAGGGGGCAGCTAGGTGGCCCAATGGATAGAGCACTGGCCCTGGAGTCAGGAGGACCTGAGTTCAAATCTGATCTCAGACCAAACATTTGACACGTACTAGCTGTGTGACCCTGGACAAGTCACTTAACCCCAATTGCCTCACCAAAAAAGATTACTAACAACAACAACAAAAAAAGACCTTTAGGAAAAAGTGAAAAGTGAACTCAGGACTTGAGTTCTTCCTAGCTGTTCTCTTCCTGAGTGCCAGGACCCAGATGCTTTTTGAGGATTTTGGGATTGCTTTCTGAGATCACTCTGGCCACTCTTCAGTCAGGCAAGGGCCAGCCCCCTTGTGATTCCATCAAGGAATTGTTCACAACTTCCTTTATACTGGCCAAAGTCGGAAAGGCGAGGACATCTCATTGTCTCTGTTTCTTGCCCTTTGCGTCCTCCAAGTTGGTTGGAGCCCTCTGATAACCCACCCCAACCCTCCCAGCATGGCTGCACCATTTCATATTATGTCTACATTTTTACAAAAGCCACTGAGTAATGGGGAAATAAAAAATTCAGGGAGCATAGCGGTCCCCCTCCAATGGCATGTAAGCTTCCTTGATAGAATGTTAGCTTCTTAAGGGCTTGGACTGTTCCATTTCCGTATCCCCAGCACCTTGAGCTGTACCTAGCACATAGTAGGTGTTTCATAAACGCTGTTGATTAATTGACCAAAAGTTACCTCGTGTAAAATGCTTTGCAAACCTTAAAGTGATATCTAAAGATCACATTCACTCAGAAACTCATGCCTCCCCCGCAGCCCCTGCTTCTGGGGCCCCTCCCTCCCTCTGGAGAACTCCCCCCAGGTCCTCCATTTAAGGAGAGGACTCAGGGCAGCCATCTCATCATTTGCCACCTGGTTTCTCCCCTGGTCTTCACCACCTCCTTCCCCTCGGCTTTTCCTCTTACTTTTAATGTGTTGTCCCCCCCTTTGGATTTGTGAGCTCCTAGAAGGTAGGGCACTGTCTTTTTTTCCTTTCTTTGTATCCTCGGTGCTTAGCACACTGCCATGCACTCAGTAGGTGCTTACTCATTGTTCATCCTTTTTTTTTTTGCTTTTTGGTGAGGCACTCATGGTTAAATGACTTGCCCAGAGTCACACAGCTAGTAAGTGTGAAGTGTCTGAGGCCGGATTTGAACTCAGGTCCTCCTGACTCCAAAGCCAGCGCTCTATCCACTGCACCACCTAACTGCCACTATCCTTCATTTTCGAAGATGAGCTGCTTGTGAATTGGATTTAAGTGAGGCAGAGTTGCACAAAGTCATCATCCTCACTCTCTCTTCCAGAGTCATCAAAGTCCAGTGGCAGGACAAAAGTCGAGATGGCTGGTGATGGCCCAGGATGCAGCGAATGACCTTGTTGTCTTTGATGTCTGACCAGTCTGGAAGCGCTCCACATCCCCCGGCTTCATCCGCCTTCAGGGAGAACCAGCACCTCTGGCGGGAGGACTTGTCAGGCCCTTCTCAGGGCTGCTCGTCCACGTTTGGTGACCACCTGCCACCCAGCTCTCACCTGTGGCTCCAAGAAGCTGTGGCAGCATAGTGGCTGCACTGTGGTAAAAACCTCAGCAGGCAGGCTAAACCAGGTTGAGAGTAACTGAGGGGCCTCAAACCCATTGGGGAGTTGGGGGGTTGTCTGCCCCAAGCATATGAAGACTTCCCCAGCAGAATGGGCACATGAAGTGCTTAATGAATACTTAGTGACTGATTAACTATTTTTAATTTTTTAAAAATTTTATTTAGGGGCAGCTGGGTGGCACAGTGGATAGAGCACTGGCCCTGAAGTCAAGAGGACCCGAGTTCAAATCCAGCCTCAGTCGAAACACTTGACACTTACCAGCTGTGTGACCCTGGGCAAGTCACTTAACCCCAATTACCTAAAAAAAAAAAAATAAAAAAAATTTTATTTAAAGTTTTTATGATTTTATTTGGATAATACTTTTATGTGAAGGCAGGATTTGGATTGGGTTTTGTTTGTTTTTAATTTTGGTAAATTGTTTTTCCTATTTGCAAGTTTGAAATTTTAAAATCCTGTTTTGTAAAAACAAAAGTAGAGAA